GTATTTTACATTTGAAAAATGTAGATTAATGTCACTAATGAAAAAGGATTGACATATACGAGTATATTGGCTGTAAAATTTTATGCGTGTGTTTAGAAATTTTATGTGAATTAAAGAAAATATTTCAGGCTATTAAATAAAACAAATGCCTTAAATCAAATCACTCAAGTCCAGTCAGAGTCAGTAACTATATACCATATGTGTAAATATGTATAAATGAATTGCTGTTCGTTTGTCTCGCTAAAACTCAAGAACGGCTGAACCGATTTGCCTAATTATGATCTTGAAATATTTATGGATTTTCAGGAAATAGACGGAAAGGATGACCTTTCACCGAACGACACCTAGACAAAAATAATTGCTAAGTAAAAGTCAATTAGGAAAATGCAAAAGCAATCATTTTGAATAAATCAATACTGATTTGTAATTATAATTTTCGTGAAAAACAAGTGCATGCTATTTTAGTTATGCGGTGACATCACAAGTTAACCTTGCAAAAACCAACTGCTCAGAATTAATGATAAAAAATTTATGTTGATTATATTATTTTTATTGATATCCTAAGCGAGGTCGATCTCTCAAGAAGGCGACAGGAGGGAATCAACAGACCGTCGAGGCGGTGCGCCCGGTATTCGCGGACCTTGTGAGCTGTGACTTTTTTATTTATTTTTATTTATTAGATGTGTGGACGAGCTTACAGCCCACCTGGTGTTAAGTTGCTACTGGAGCTCATAGACATCTACAACGTAAATGCATCTCAAGTATAGTTACAACGGCTGCCCTACCCTTTAAACCGAAACGCATTACTGCTTGATGGCAGAAATAGACAGGGCGGTAGTACCTACACGTGCGGACTCCCAAGAGGTTCTAACACCAGTAAAAGTTGGGCGCGTCCAACCTTCCAGTCGATGCATTTTTACACCGGCTTTCGTTTTCCTTTTGAATTTGTTTTCGGCCGGTACCTGCATGAGAATGGAGTGCCACCACTGTGGCCTGATACCTAACAGTGTCAACGATGCGGCATCATGCTCAGTCGACTTCGTCGAGGGCGCGCTAGACTAGTACAACTCTTGTCTCAGTAGGCCGAGAGGCCGAGTTGCAGCCCATTTGAATGCGATTTTTCGCCGGAGGAGGAGTTTACGAAGTTGGGCGACTTGCTATTCCAGAAGCAAACGCTTTTTTTTTTTTTTTTTCGGGCCGGGGCCGAACCTCCTACGAGGTCCCCGCGCCTAGGGGGCGTGCGGGGTATGTGAGACTCAACGATCTGCAGGTGTTGAGAGCAGATCGCGGGCCCAAGGATTTTAGGGCCCACCCACTAAACGACTCCCCTGCACTCTTACACCCGACGTCCGATCTCCGTCCGGGGTCAGAACCCGTTCAGAGTAGGGGGGTTCCCGCGGTCAACACTACAACCAGACACGCGACGCCACCCCGAGGACGCCCGACCGACGGGTCGTCGAGGCGATAGTCGACGA